CATTAATTGACGAGGTTTTTCCCCTTCTTTGATACTTAAACTCCAGAAAGTACAGCTCTAGGGGAATGATTTTACAAGAAAATATATACACCATATAGTTAATACCTGAAGGTTGGGCTGACCATTGGTTCTCTAGGAGAGGGTTTCATCTCTCTCACAGGACTTAAATCCTTATTAACTAATTCTTCCCCTGAAAAAAATATAGTTCGCAATTTTGTATTTTAAATTTTATTTTTTTAATTTTTTAAATGTTGATTTCTTTTTTCTCTCAATTGAAATTGAAAATTTTCGATTGAAGGGTTCTTTTTACAAGTCACTTTCGGATTTATGCAGCAGAGAAAAGGATGGAGATTGACAGAATTAATATCTTTTCCTGATAGAAATGGTTGACATGGTACTGTTGTGAATCGAGTAGGTACCTCTTTAAATGAAGCGTGTTGCTTGAAATTGCGTCAACAGTCCTTTTAATATAAAATTTCGAACATTGGATAAACTTCTCGTTTTGGTAAAAAAATATTTATATTTGATTTAAACATGGCAAAGAAATTGAGTCTTTTTCTCAAATCTTAGAATCGCTATATCTTTGTAACCAAATGGTAAAAAGATTATTTGATCCAAAAGAATTTAAAGTTTAAAGTATCTAAGGTCTGTGATTTTGGGTTGCAAAGATATAGAAAATAGAAAAAAAATTTGAAAAAAAATCTTTTTAGTCGACATGATATATTACACTAAGGAAAAATAAGTTTGTCATTATGAGCTTGAGTTTTGCCTAACATTTTCGGGTTTTATCAAAAACATTTATGTATTTATATATGTATATATGTATTTAGGAAAACCAAGTTAAATGGCAAACTTTATTTTTGAAAGCAAAACTACTATTCCCTAAAAATAGTAATTTAGAGGTGTAAATCACGTCAAGCTGACAAAAACGAAGTAACATTCTGTCTACATCAGAATATTTATATCATAAGTAACTATGTATATAATGTATATATAATCTATGTTGGTTTGTGTGTATGTCCAATCATTACTAATGAGCCCCTTGACCGATTTGCCTCTAATTTTAAATGGGGAACTTGGTAGAATCACGGGAACGTTTTAAGTTTAGTTTAAAAGTTTAATATTGAGAAGGTCGACTTTCGTAGATAAAACTTCCAGGCAAAGCTGGGTTCAGGCAAGTTCAATCGTATAATTATTAAATATAAGCAAACCCTTCCAAAAAAAATTTTGCTATTTGCTATACCTGCAATTTCGGGGGCTACCACTTCTTTAAAGTCCACTTTTCTTAGCATCATAACTGTAAATAAAATACAAAGTTATTTCAATTAATGTGCTTTAAATCAAATAAGTTATATGTATAACTATAATAAAGTCAAGAAAATAAAATTAAAAACATTTAAAGAATCGTCGAGAAGAAATTGACAAAAAAGTACAATATATTATATCTTGACAATTTATTGGAAAAATAATCAAATTTTCTGAATAATATACAAATAATGAAGATGTAAATAAAGGAAAATATTGATATATTTTTCATTATTTCTCCATTTTTCTCAAAAATCTATTTTTACCATAAGATATTAGGCCAGTATAGAGGATTTTGTTAAAAATTAATTAAAAGCAAAATAATTAGATATTTATACAGTTTGATGTTTTGAAAAGTTGTAAACTTGGCTGAACCGAACGCGCCCAAATTTTGTGTGGGACTACACATCAGGCCCGCAGCTAGGGGGGGGGGCACAGGGGAAGCACACTTTCTGAGACAAAAAAAAGAAGAAAAAAAATAAAAATGAAAAGAAGGAAAAAAAGAAAGAAAGAAGGAAAATTGACCTAAAATCTCATTTTTGTTTCCAACATTTTGTGTAAAGGATTATTTTTCTTCAAATTAAAGTGAAAAAGAGTGCTTTCTGAAATGAATTATTTGGAAATTTTTATTTCTATCATGTCCTGTGAAATGAAAGGGTTTATTTTATTATTTTTGTATTTTGATAGGCTTTTTCTTTTCCCTTCTTTTATTAGATTAATGATTCTAATGAAACACCGTACAGCAAAAACTAAAATGTAACATGGAGACAAATTAGTATAGATATACTGCGTAGTAGAATCAAGAGAAAGTAAACATCATTAAAAATCTTTATAAATCCGTATTTAATATTGCTATTGTCAAAAAAATATAGAAATGATTTTTTAAGAATATTATAATTAATTTTCTACGATGTCTAAATACGTGTCTAATAATCTGTCTAACCTGTGTCTAATGTTTAAAGCGTAGTATGTATTTAAAGTGTAGATTGTATACTAAGTCTCAGCTGATACTGACGTATATACTATACCTAGCCTTACAGCTGACAGAAGGAAGGGGGGAATAGAAGGAAGGGAGGGGTGGGTAGAGGGGTGCAGAAATAGTATAGTACACAAAGACAGTGAGAAACAGAAAAAATAAATCTAGGCCAATTCAACTGTAAATAGATATTTTTAAATTAAACAATAATATTTATTGTATTCCTTTAAAGGATTGGTTTTGTTTTGAAAGTCTTTCAACATTTCAACATTCCATGGATCCCAACATCAAAAATTTCAATCGTATTGACTTTGTGACTTTGTAACTTCTCCAGATATTGCAGTTTATATCATAAAAATGTAAAAGTAAACGTGTTCAAAATATTGGGAGAATTTCTAAATTTTTTACACATATAAAAAGTTGTGTTATAGAACACATGATTTCAGATTAATAATTGACGCGTACATTGTATTGTATTATACCAAAATAAAAAATAATCAATATTGATTATTGAATCTTTATTAATAAAAGCTTGAAAGTATTGATGAAAAACTTAATAATATTTAACACTTATAATTTCTGTGCCTGTCTCGACTCTATACTTTCTCAAGTTTTGTGTTATATCAATAATCAATGAAAGCTAAATAGTAAATATCTTTGTATATACAGTAATAACCAGAAAACGATGGAATATAAAGACGACATTTTAGCAATACTTATGCGTTTTGATGTTGTTACAAAGCAAATATTTTTGCTAGTAACTTAGCAACGCAATATTTAAGTGACATGGGTCTATTTTTTACACTGTAATTGTTATGTCTAATTTTTACACTGTAATTGCTATGTCTAATGTTTATTGAAATAGTTGAAGTCTTTACTTGAGTTTAAAAGTCGTCTTCCAATTTCAGAGTTTTCTGGATATCACTGTATCTTCGTTATATTAAAGCTCTTCGCTCATATAAATATATAAGTTGAATGTATATATGTTAGCAATATCTGGCCATTTACGACTGGACCAAATTGGCTAAATTTTAGGGAACCCATGGCTATACCCTGGGCCCCGGGGATTGCAAGTTAAATTTTTTTATTTAAAATAATTGCTTCGGTGTTTCTTAAGTTCTTTAGCTAGTGTACAATAATAAGCATTCTATCTTTATAAATTGAAAAACAATAACGAAAGAAATATTCGCGAATTTGTTATATTTGGAATTATTATGAAAGGACTGAGGTTTCTCACACGAGCGGATTATCTGAGGCAGCTGAACATATCCCGACAAACAAATGTTCGCGACCCGTCCCGACTCCAAATGTCCTGACGGGGTTCGCGAATTGTCCTTTTTTTATTTTACTACTATTTATTAGTATTATTATACTTTCTAAAATAAATAAAAATTGAAATAAATTAATTAACTAATTAATTAATTAGGTCTCTTCCACTTTGTTTGCGGATTTTAAATGAAAGATCAAAATATGACTGAAAATATTCCGATTCAGATTGAATCAGGGTTTCCAGCGGAAAAGGTATAAATCAATTTGATAATTTCACTTTTCTATGTTTCGCGAAAAAATTAATAAATCAGCGCATTCCACAAGTTTTATTGCACAGTTAATTGTTGGAGCTATCGTCTTTGCGGAACTTTTTTTCGTGGAATTTTGCAAAAAATATTTTCGCGAAATCTCGCATCGTTTTCGCTTTATTCATTTTCGCGAAAAAGTTTGTGAAATTCAACGAAAATTTTCACATTTTTTCACGAAAGTTTTCGTTCGCTGGAAACCCTAGGCACAATTAGACAGAATGCACTTGCTTGTGTTTGTTAGTTTTACGCGAAGCATTTGCATTTCGTGAAATGCCATAAAAATAATTTTGACAATTCGATCGTGTCAGTAAATTTTTTTTGTGACATACACATTTTAAATGTTGCTAATTATTATACACGATCGCAGATATGTTTTAAATTGGCAAACTATCATTGTTTGTTTTAAAATGGGTAATAATATGAAAATTCTTTAGTTTAGACTTGATTTGTTATTAAAAGTTAACCTCCATTTTAAACCTTCCCCCCCCTCACCTCCCGCCTTGGATTTTTTTTACCTACAAACTTAATTTTTAAGTTCTCAATTTTAAAGTTTGTAATTCTAACTTTTAATTAACTTTTCTCTCAAACAATTCAATTTAAAGTTCAAAATCAAATATTTTTTTAAAATTTTATAATTCCTCAGATTTTATAATTTTGTTCACGTTAGCGGTTTTATTTATTTGGTGAAAAAGTGACTAATTTGATTTAAAATTGTTTAGTTTTATTGTACTAAAAAGTGTTCGTAAGAAGGTACAATGCCCAAAAAAAGGGAGTTTTCAATGAAAAGTCTTGCACTAACCCTCACCTCAAAAATGTGGATTCGTCTCTTTTCAAAAGATTTTAAAAAATATATATATAATTTCATTTCTCTTCATATTTCAGTCTATATGATATTTTGGTTGTATTTATACTGAAACCAATTTATAGTAAAACTAGCTTGGGAACCCAGCGCTGCCCAGGTAACTAAAAGTGTTTCCAGCCATTACCCCCACTTGAACGAATTCACCGGAAAACTAAAGAGAACAACTAAACTAAAAATCTTAAAACCAAGCATAGAACATTACCGTAGGTCTCCCGAGTTCCCAAAGCAAAATTGGAGGCAAATCAGTCCAGTGGTTTCTGAGTTATGATCGGAAAAACAGACACACAGATAGACAGAAATTACAACTTGATATATATAGATAACTAGCTTGGGAATCAGCCGGCCCAGGTTACTCATATTACTCCCAACGTTTAACCGCCTTGAACGATTTTATTTGGAAACTAATCTTTTGATATTTAAGTCGATCCAATTAACTTGGAATATTAAAACCACGCTAAGAACATTCCCGACGGTCTCTCGAGTTCCCCAATCAAAATGTAAGGCAAATTGATCCATGGTTCCTGAATTATGGTCGGACAAACAAACAAACAAACAGACACCCAAACAGAGATTACAACTTTATATATATATATATATAGATGCAAAGTTAAGTAGTCGCTCACTGGCAGCCGCAGTACATTTGAATTTCCGAGCCGGGTCAACCTTTCCGGTCCCAGTTTGTACTGTATCGCCCGGACATTGGGTAAATGAAGCAGACACTCAAACTCAAGTTGACTTTAGGATGAATTCACTTTTACTGAAGGGTCGGGGGTGCGTGCAACATTGGAAAACGACCAAATCTAAAGATATACGTTGCTTGTCTGCTTCTTTGTTTCTTTGTCCAATAAATGTCAGAACGGCTGAACCGATTGGGCTCAAATTTTTTGTTGGACGACGTTTGACCCCATGGAAGCTTTATGGATGATCCAATGTTCAAAAATTTGCGTCTAACAAAATTGATTTTTGAAAATTTGGAAAATTCACAAAATTTTTTTTTAGAAAATCTGCGAAATTTTTGTACGTATTCAAAGAGAACATTTTAACAATTGAAATAGAAGATGGACGCGAAGCGTCCTAAAAGCCAAGTTTTAAAATTTGATGCCTAATTTTAAAGGTTAAAACGGTTTTTGAGAGAAAATTGTTTGAACGACGACCCTACTATCCCCTGTATGGATGGACATTGTACCTACAGAGTCAGAATTTAATGAAATTGAGCCGCGTCTTAAATCCACCAAAAAGCGGTTTTGATTGAGCGCCAACTTAAATCTTAAAACATTGAATATAATTTTAAGAGGAACTAACCATATTTTAGCCGAGTCTCAAATTTAAGCCGCGGCTCAAATTATTTAGATTCGGACACTATGGAAACATTATTTAGTATACCACAACTACCATAAGTGTTGGTGTAGACTAAACACACTTTTTTAGAGACACCCTTATTTAGAAATACATAGAAAATGAATTGTTTGAATTCTCAGATTTCCGATTTTCTTTTAAAATATTTTTATATGTTTGGAAATCCAGATTTGAAAAAAATATTTTCATATTGAAACCAGTGCATAGATGCATGCGTATTTGTTTAGTATCCGTGGAGGATAAAAGCATTTAATTTTAATAATTTAGATAATTCACATAATATTTTTTGTGAACCAGGATACTTCATTGACTTTGTATGTAAAAGATGGATCACATATCAGGCTGTAACATCCGTCTTGTGTTTACATTACCGCCCAGAGACAGTACACTGCGGTACAAAAGATGCGCACACCTCTGAAATACTTTCCTTGCATTATAACCTTGAGTTACGTCATGTATCTGAACTCCCTATTGCCGGTTCAAATTTAAACCACCGATTCAAAGTGAAAGGATTAAGAACGGAGGATTTGAATTGGTGATTCAAATTTTATCAAACAGGCACTACAGGCAGTTCATTAAATTCGGGTTCTGAACTATCAAAAATTTAAATCTTTAAATGTGGGATCACTTCAAATTACGTCGACAGTCCCTTTGAGAAAGGGTTAAGAAAAGGAAAAAAGGAGAAAAACAGAAAAATAATAAGTAAATAATAAAATTATAGACAAATATCAATCATGGACATTTATTATATATGTACAATTATAGAGGACGTACAATCTTCATTTTTTATTCTACATGGTGTCCAAATAAACATGAAAATTGAGTTTTTACATTAACATAACTTTATCTCAGAGAGATTATTATCTCTATACAATGAAGAACAAAGATGCTTTCATCAATAAGACTTGGAACTTTTTTCCATGAAATGAAATGCAAATTTAGAAAAGTATTTTTATCTTTTTGTAACTCAAGTACATGGCTGACCCCTCAGATTTTTTGTTTGAATCCAAAATTTTCATCAAGATCGGCTTGACAACTTTTCTTCATTTCAATGGATTCGATTTTGATGAAATTTTAGGATTAGGTAGAAATTAGATATTTACACATGTTTTCTTCTTTTCCATACTTTTTTGCCTCGCCCCGCCAAAAATCTAAAACCACATTTCAATCATGTAAAAAAATGGCCAAGAAAAAAATAGTAATTTTGAACAACAAGACACTATTTTGGACTCACTCTGCATTGACATGTTTATGTTACAGATATATGTTTCATAAATAAAAACGATGAGTTACATAAATAGATTATTGAGAACGTACATAACTTTTGTACTATTTGTCTTTATATGTGTCCTTAAAGGGACTGTAAGCGTAAAAGCGTAATTTCAAGTGACCTTTCAAGTAAAGAGGAACATCACTGATTCACAACGGTAATCTCTAAGATAGGTACTTTCCCAAAGGTCTTTTCCCAAGCGTTAACTTCCCAAGGGTATTTTCCCAAGTGGCAACTTCCCAAATGTGCAATTTCCCAAGCGGCAACTTCCCAAATATACATTTTTCCAAATTACACTTTCCCAAATGACAATTTCCCAAGTGGCTTAACCTAACCGTAAATAATTATAAGGATCGTTTAATTCCTTTTTACCCTTTGAAGAATGGGTCTAGGCCGCCAACATGTTCTTACCTTAACTAACTGCAGAGAGAAACTGAAAGAAATTATTTTAAGTTGCGTATATTTTCTTTTAAAAAATTGAGAAATTCTTTCAAAGAAATAAAACTTAAATATTCATTTGATACTTCCTTCATGGGAAAAATGCCGTTTTTCCTTCATGGGGAAGTTGCCACTTGGGAAATTGTCCTTTGGGAAAATGTACATTTGGGAAGTTTCCGCTTGGGAAATTGCACATTTTGGAAGTTACCACTTAGGAAAATGCCTTTAGGAAAGTACCTCTCTGTAAATGGAATTCAGCTTACAGTATCTTGAAGCAAAATGCTGGGTGATCCAAAAAAAAACAGAGATTAAGGGTTTTCAGCTCTTTTAATCGTTAAAGTTAGATTTTGCCCTTGTTAATGCTTCCTTTTGACATTTTTGATTATTTGAAAATATCTCCATTAATTCTTCAGCTCACCAAAATTCTTTAAGACATATCTAAACCCCCTTAGATTTCTCCTCTGAGGCTTTATAATATCTAAACCCCCACATGGATGTAAGGGTTCTGTCCTTGTCCTATAGAACTGTTTAATTATATAGCAACACGTGATTGAATTTAAATAGTAGAAACCGAATGCATCTCGTCCTGTTAGTTCGGGTGTGTCCTAGAAGTAGAACTCTATGAAAGTGGATCAAAACCTCAAATGGCATTTGGCCGCAATCTCGGCCCTGGAGATGCGATTGCGAATAGCATTGATGGACCTTAGGAAGAAATAAACCATTTTTTGTATGGCATCGTATTGGGGCCTCTTTAAGAAATAGTTAGTAAAATAAACATTATATTAATCTAAATAAGTATTCATTCAAAGTAAACATCAGGTATTTTCGAGCAATCGACATAGTTTTACGCCAAACGGAGGCATCCAACCACAAAATGTTAGTTAAACGACCCTTCCTAAAATTAAAAACTATATGTACAGTAATTTAAATGATTATTTATGCTGAAAAACTCTAATCCCTGTATAAACTATAATTTATCACAGATTTTGTCTCCAATTGCAAAATATGAAATGAAACAGAACAGTTATTGATAAAAAATGCTAAAACTGTTGTAGACACCTTCTCCATAACAAGTACTCGAATGTATCTATCCAGGTACAACCCGTCCGTTATCAAACTGAACCAGAACTGAATCCCAGGCTCTAAATTCCACACAGGGACACAAGCGTAGCTATCAAAATCCAGCTACTAAAACAGTGCTCAACCGGACTGAATCCCATGGGCTCTAAATGTCACACAGAGACACAACATTAAATTAGATATAATATTATAGGGTTTCCAACGCAAGTTGATTTTACTTGCGGGCAATTGAGAGTCCTTGCGCGCAAGTAAATTTAATTGCATGCAATTCCGTCATAATTGCGCGCAATAAACGCAACAATAATGGCGCGCAATTCCGTCAAACTTTCTTGCATTTGTGTTTCAATTTTTTGATAATATTCAAATCAAACCTTATGGCACTCAATAAGTGTAACAAGAAAATCAATATAAACTTTGGTATGTGGCATACAATAAACTGAGCTTCATTAACATGTATGTCACAATTACTAAGAAAATTGAATTTAAACTTAATCTTTTGTTTTATAATATTCATTTGCAGCATGATAACCAGAAAACTCTGACATAGAAAGACGACATTTTAGACTCATGCAAACCCATTTAACTGTAAAAGTTATTTAATAAGTTACTTATTAATTTTTTGCTTTGTAACAACATCAAATACACATTGATGTTGTTTTTCTGTACCATAGTTTTCTGGTTCTTACTGTAGCAAAATATCTAATTTTGACTAAACATAAACCTTACAATTTAACCAAAAATGTTTCCATTGTAATGTTCATCTAATGTGAAAAAATTAAAAATGTATTCTATTAAATTGTTAATTAGTAGCTTAACCACAAGAAACTTTAGAATTTGAAAACTGTTAAATCAATCGTTAAACACAGGTCTTGGTTATTTTAAAATCTACAGAGATATTTCCATCTTCTGATTCTGTAAAAATGTGTAAGTCACAGTTAAAATTATAGATTTTTAGATGGAAAAGCAATTCCGTTGCACGCAATTCCGCGCAATTCCCCGAATATTTAATTGTTTACTTGTTCGCAATTATAGTGCAATTGCGCGCAATGAAATGGCGTAAGCAGAGGCAACCATTGCGTGCAATTCCGGGCAATTGCGCGCAACGGAATTCTGATTTGAATCCATGATAATATACTGCATGGTTTACAGAACATCATGTTTCCACGATTTTTGCTACAAAGCTAGATATATTAAAGCGGAGTTAGTTAAAATCTCCGTATACAGGATTTACAGTATATACATTACCTGTGCATTTTATCCAAACCAAACCTCAAACCATCTGCACAACCAGCTGTAGACCATTCAACCCAGCGCAGTGATGAAATCCACAACCACTTTCTTTATATCTAGAAACCCAGTGACTCAAATAAGTGAACGTAATTTCATTTTGAAAAGTCGATGAATAAAGAAGAAAGTAATCGTTACCACCAAAAAACTATAAAAATAAGTTTTTATTCTTAAACATAATATTCTGAGCTAAACCCTTAGATGGACTCTGAACTCTGAGTTAGACCCTGAGCTAAACCTTAAGCTAAACCCTAAGGTAAACTTGAGGTGAGCTAAACCCAGAACTAAACCCTGAGAAGTGAGAACCCTAGTAAAATGACTAAGTCCTGTGGTTCCAGTTCAAGATGTTTTGTAGATCGAAAATCCGGGAAGGTTTTCAAAACCAAGGGGAAAATGTCAAAACAGGTGAATATTTTAAAATTGGAAATTTGAAAAAAGGAATTTAGTCTTTGCCACAAACTCAAAATGTTCTCATTTTTATATCTTTAAAACCTGATATTTTAAACTTAGATTTTTTATTTAACAGAATACAAAATATCTACGGTCTCCGACATTGGGCTGCAAAGAAATAGGTATTAGAAAATTAGAGTTTGAGGCCCAAACTCAACTCCTTTGATATCAGTTTTGATATAAGTTTTGCAAACTTTGTTCAAAGAAACATTTTTAAATAATTGTTTTTATCAGATTATCTTTTCTTAACATGTCACACGTCAAACTAAAACAAATGGCACGTTAACATGAAATATTGTAGTAAATGCCGTACTCGTAACACTCCTATCAGAACCATATCAGTCCAGGTACAACTCGTAAACTATCAATGCCAAACAAGGGCACGATCCCATAGGCTTTAGTCATTTAATGTCAACAGGGACACAAGCTCCAAACTATCAATGCCGAACCAATGGGCATGATCCCAGAGGCTGAAATGTAGGGTTTCCAGCGAAAAGGAAAAATCCTAAGAAAAAATTTTTCACGACCATTTCGCTTTATTTTCGCATTTCGAAAATGCGAAATTTTTCGGGGTTTTTGCGAAATTTCGCTTCAATCTGCTTCGCAAAAAATGCGGAATTTTCGCGAATTAGAAAATGCGAAAATTTCGCGAAAAAATGCAAAAATTTCACAAAAAATACTGCAAAACTTTTTTTCTGTCCTAGCCGCAGTGTGGTTCTTAAACTGTTTCAACCTATAGCCTCTGCCTAAACTGGATATAGAACATTTTACATTTTATTGAGTTTGGAGTTGGAATAAATTCCAATTCTCTTGCAAGGTTTGGGCTGAGGTCTGTTCAAATATGAAAAACTACTAGGCTCTCAGGGAGCTTCGCGCCCATCTTCTATTTCCACTTTTAATTGTAGTTTTTTCTTTAATCATTTTCTCTTCTTACTACTTTATAATAACAAAAACAAAAAAAAGTTTCCGGATTTCAGCATATTTGTTTCGTGGATTTCAAAGTTTTACGAAAATCTGAATTTTTGGAGACACATTTTTGCAGTTCTAAGCATCCATGAAACTATGGGATGATGTGAGTTGCCTCAAAAAATGTTAGGCCCAATTGTTTCCGTCGTTTTGACGTTTATTGGATACAAACAGGCACCTAGACAAGCAAAGTACATGTATAGATACTGATATATGTTTTTTAGATTATATATTGCGATTCTTGCGAGTTTAAATCGACGTCACAACTTTTCCTCTCCATGCATCAAAGGTATTTTCAGGAAAAAAATTTTAAAATTATGTTTAATAAGTTCACTACAAATTCGAATTTTTTATGCATTAAAAGGCTTAACAGAAAAAAATGCTCGTTTATTCCAGTTATTCTATTCAATGATACAATCTTGAATTAGTTATTTGTTAACTGTTCAATTGTTCAACTGTTATTTTAAGAAAATTTTTATATTTCAGATTTTGTCATTCCACCCCTGACCCTGATCTTGGCCAAAATGTGGATCACTTACAAAATAACGATTCCCCACAGGCCACAGCATGATGCTTTATTACACCAAGCTTTTCCTTCACAGCATGCAAATGCTGCTACTTTACAACTTGTTACTTCGTCACAGGATGCTGATTAATAACAAAATGATGCATCCTTACAGCACGCTGCTCCGTCAAATTTAGCAACAATTTTTAAGATAATACTTTTATGGATATTGTAATTTCTTATATTAATATATTAAAATGTTTTTATTCTTATATGTGTCGCCTTTACCAAACAAACTGTGATAAACCTGATATTTGTTAATATAGCAATATGTTTTTTAGACTAGACTTTTAGGGTGATGAAAGTCCCTGTTCTACTAATAATTTGACACTTTTGATGTAGATTTATTTTAAGTCGCTTTTTTTCTCCTATTCCAATAAACACAAATTTTTGCGGACCATTTTGTATAAAGGAGTTGAGTTTTTGCCACAAACTCTGATTTTCTAATCTCTATATCTTCAATGTCGTAGACCTTAGATATTTCAAACTATTAATACTTAAAGATAAAATAAGCTAAGTTTGAAATATCAAAGGTTTGCACCATCAGGTTGCAAAGATATTGGGATCAGAAGATTTGAGTTTGTGGCAAAAACTGAATTCCTTAGTGAATTTTAAAAATAACATATGTGAACACTTTTTAGAGGCAACTTTTTTTTTAATTTGAGAAGCCAAATATAAAGTTTGATGTAAATATTGATAAATATGTAATAAGATTTTTATCAACATTGTCTTAACACTTTAGATTAAAATTAACTAACAATGAAATAAAGTAATTTTGATTTAAGTATGTTTTGATAAGTTCAAGATGTGGATATTTTTAGCTTGAAATTGACTAATAAAAAAATTAATTAGATATAAAATATGTACATTTTATCACTAATATTTAATTAATAATCTTTAAATAATAAAGTATATAATATGAGTCACATTTGTTTGTCAAAAATAATAATAAATAATTTTAACATTTATCCGACATACTTTTATATTTATTTGTCAAACCTCTCATAGCACCCTGTAACACAATTAAAGCTAGAGGTTTAATTTTTTTACTGAACTGGCCTTATACTAGGAACTCCTTTCCTTCTGTTAACAATTTGTTACATTCTAAACCTAGGGGAAACCATTGTAATATTTAAAAAAATAACTATTTTTAAAACAGTTTTTTCTTTTAAAACATACTTTTTTAGTCCTGGAGGTCTCGATCTGACATTATCCACAATCCACCTCTATATTTAGTATTTATCTTTCTTTACACGAAAATTTTGCGAAATATGACAAAATATGTATATTTTAAAAGCCATTCACCAATTCACAAAGATTGCAAAAGTTTCAAAACCGAAGTGAGAATTTAGGGAAAACTGAGAATGGGAATATTCTCTTGAATGTGCGCGCCCTTCACTGGTTAGTCCGAAGAGACCAGACATATCAGACATATATGAGATTTAACAACCGTCGGATTATCAATTCCACTCTCTCTCTCTCTCTCTCTTTGAGACCAGTCTTTCAACCCGGGGATGTTTAGTTACATTTCTCAGTCTCAACCTGCAGCTTTTAAGGGACTGTAAGCGTAATTTCAAGTGACCCTCCAATTCCATGCAAAGATGGCCATAGTCATAGCCTTGAAACCTTAATCGGATCAAAAATGTGGAAAAAACCGTCGTTTTTCTGACTCGGAAAAGTGTTTCATTATGATAAATTATACATTGCTTCAATAAAAACAGAAAATGCGCAGGTTACTTATTTACAGAAACCACAAATGAAAATAAAGAGTTGAATGAGAGTTACATGCAATTGCGCCTACAGTCTCTGTAAAGGGACTCTTCGCAAAGTTAATGGTTTTTGTAGATCAAATTTTGAGTCCAATTCCAATTTTGTTGTTACTTTAAACTTCATTAAAAAAGACGGGAAAACAGTGTATTCGACTTTATATACAGGGGGGGACCCGCAAAGAATGAGACATCAGAGATCTCACTTTCAGATGTTTTACCATGGGCGTTTAATCCTGTTTAGACACCTATGACGATGTTTGTGTGCTATTAATATAATTTTACCTCCTAAAATGACCCCTTAGAAATCGAATTGGCGGATAATGACCTCGGTGGTAATTTTTTTCAAAAACCAATATCATTGTTGAAACATGGATATGTTTAACCTATGAAACAATACCTTGGACGGCTTGTGCTCTCTAAGACATACGTTTACATTTGAGAATATGTTCTTTTATGCGTGAACAGTGCCTTAGAAGGCCCCATAAAAAACTTACAACATGTTTGGCCTATCTAACTACTTAATACCTTGAACCTATCATAAAAATGGACTAATAACAAATGAAAGCGTAAACATCATTTCTAAAGTAAAAATATTCTTAATTAAAGTGAGGATTTTAAAAAAGTTTTTTTTTTCAGATTCCCAAAAAATGTTTTATTTTTGTGCCCTGATGGCTTAGATAAAAAAAATTGATTGAAATAGCGAGCTTGGGATTGTAACAACTGATTTCCAAAAACAAATTTTTTTAAATTAGTTTTGTGGTCTGGGCTGGGCAAGGTTCGTACGGAGGTACCCGTAGCTCTCTTTTCGATTTTTTTAATGCATATTTTATTTTTAGATTGCGCTGGCTCAAAAAGTAACAATTGCTGATCCAAAATTTTAGTTAAAAATGAAACCTAAGACTAATAGCTTATGATTTTAAAAAATTTAATTCGAAAATCTTTAGATTTTTCCATACTTTATGAACGAATGAAAATGAGACGTGAGAAATCGAAAAATTGAAAAATCCGGGAAATCGACTTTCGATTTACTTTCAAATAATTGGTTGTAACAAAAAAAAAAGTATAAGGCCTAGAAGGAAAATAATGAAATAACTGAAATATAGAGCTTTCGAATGACACCTTGATCGTAAAAATTGAACGAAAATTGTTTCCTCGGTTAATACCCCTACTGCACAGTTTTTTTGAGACACCCTGTACATTTTTGAAAGGCCCTAATGGCGCTAATGGACTCGGCATACAGGAGTGCTGCAAGCCTTGCTTTTTCGTAGCTAAAAATGCAATTAAAGTATAATTTCGTTGATTGTCTCTATTGATGGATTTCTTAAAAGGTTCATCTGTAACAAAGGTTTCCAATCATCAAACAATTGAAACACAAACGCAAAAAAGTTGGGCGTAAACGCGTGCAATTCCGGTGCGTGCATTGCGCGCAATTATTACGGAATTGCGAAGCCATTAAATTCACTTGCACTCAAGGGCTCTCAATTGTGCGCAAGTAAAATCCACTTGCGTTGGAAACCTTATAATTATAACACACTCTAATTTTCTAATCCCTGTGTCTTTACACCCTGATGTAGACCTGTGATAATTCAACTTTGAATTCTAATAAATCAATTCGTTGAAGTTTGAGACATCAAAATATTATAATCTTCAGATTGCAAAGGCCAAAGTTTAGGGATTACCAAATTAATGTTTATATCTTTGTGTTTGTACCATAATGTTTAGTCAGCTTAACATTGAATAAAGGATGGTTGAAAAGTTAAAAAAAAAAATATTTAAGTTCGAAAAAACTTTTCTTGTTCTTAGAAAAGATTTGGAATCCATCTAAAGGGTATTTTAAAGTTTATTGGAATATAACCTTTAAACAAAAATCTTAAATACTTGACGTATTTTGCTTCAATTGCATTACCCTACGAAGAATATCTTAATTTGTAATCGACTTTTTCAGAAATATTTGTTTGCTTGTAAATATCAAATACACTTATTTATTACTTTAATATAATTTCCCTTATATGCGCAGTTTTCTTGTTATTGCAATGTGTAAAGAAAAAGATAAAGATAATTAAATATGGTTTCTTTATCTTTTACTGGATCAAATAATATCAATTTACTTTCAATTTATAACTAAATGCCAAAGAAAATGTCATCAAAAGTCTAAAAACATAAAATTAAAGAGCAATCAATAATGTAAATATATGAGTCAAGGATTAATGTATAACTGAGGTTTGCCGCAAGGCATGAAGCATCATGTATAGTGAATAGTGAAGATTCTGAAATATAATAACATTTTTTAATTTGAAGCTGATTCTTCAAATATTTACTATATGTTTATTAACTAAATTTATATTTTTTATTTTATTATGATTCTTCAAATATTTACTATATGTTTATTAACTAAATTTATATTTTTTATTTTATTATTAATGTAAAAACCTTAGCTGAAGTTTGATATCAAAAAGTGTGCGGTATTTCGAACGTTCAATAAATAAGATTAAGTATGAAAGTCCTTATCTCCACTAAAACTCACTATATCCTCGGTCAGGTACTGCAGATTACTATAGGACGCACCAAAAGATTATTTTAGGGTTGTCCAGAGGCATTAAAGTTTAATAAAGAAAATACTTTATTTTCAACAATGTTTCACACTTTATTAGAATCAATTATCAAATATTCTAATAATTACGAAAAAACCGCATTTTGTTGCGTCTAAAATGTTGTAAAATATTTTAAAGTGAAATTCTACAAAAGATCATAGCAATAAATACGACAAAGGGAATAAATAGTAAATACTAAAGTGGAAAAAATTGCATGAAAAGATTTCATTTGGAAAGTAAAGACTAGAAAAAATAGACTATAAAGACCCATGCAACAGTTGTCTTTAGTTAGAACTTCGAAATTTTCATGATTAAAAATCGAAAATTTGTGTATGTTTGTATGTAGTTTATATGTAAATATTATATAGTCGCTTAATCTCTTCACTTCTGAAATCTTAATTTACGTTGATCTATATTTAAGTTAAATACAAACTCTAATTATGTGTTTGTAAACTAAGGGGGTCCAGTTTCTGTTGTACTGTGCACTCCGTGTACAGACGAATTAAAAAATAATATTATATATATATACAGGGTGTCCCAATAAACATGGGAATTCAGTGATGAATTCGATATCGTCTTTCTAAAAAATTCTTTGATTTAGTATAGTGATACCTACTGAGAAAGCTGTAATCTGTAAGAGTTTTGTCTCCTATGTTCAAATTTTGTTTGTTTATGTTTTGACTTTATACGGTTGTACTTCGTAAAACAAGAAAATTGCAGTCTACAAACAGAGTAAACTTGTCCGTCTTCACTGTTCATCTTGCGGAGACATTATAGACACATCTTTACAGTCTTTTACCCTTTTCATAAAATAAACTCTAGCAGACATTATAATATTTTGGCTTTTGAAATTAGGTATTACAATACTAATACATAACAAAGACGATATCAAATTCATCACTGAATTCCCATGTTTTTTGGGACACCCTGTATATTATATTTAAATACTTGGGACATAAAATGTCTTCATCCAACTATGAGTTTGGACCACTTTATTATTTAATCACTTTGTGTTAACGAACAGCAAAAGTCAAAACCCTTTAGTTTTTAAATCGTTAACAAAAGGGGTTTGCCAAACCAAACCATGGTTTACTAAACTTTAAAATTGGCTAAAATTTTGAATGTTTACTTTTTAAAATCATTTTTGCAACTTTATTTTTTTACCTGAATTTTTATAAAAAATATCAAGTTTGAAATTTTTGCAATTTGTATCCGCCGCAGGATTCTATATTTCTTTGAAGTTAATTAACTGAAAAATTGAATATCCCCCGCTCCAACAATAACATTCACAATAAGAAATATTGCACACAAGAAGGGATATTGGCTCTAGACATTTATAGATGTAGCATATTTCTACTGATAAAAATCTATAGTTGCACCTAGTTGAATCTAGTTTTTTTACGAGAATTTACAACATTAGGCTTTTAGGGCACTTGGCGTCCATGTTCTAATTCAACTATTAATTGTGGCTCTATTAATCTTAATTTGTAAGGAAGCGGGGAAAAAGTTATTTCTTCACACTATTTTTGCAGAAAACAGTCTTACAAATGTGCCTTAACTATTCCTAAACTATTACTAAAACAAAACAGTTATCATTGCAATCTTTTCTGGTTCTCACTTGAAATAGAATAAGAATAAGAATAAAGGTCGTTTTACCCACGCATTCGCCTTTAATTGAATCTAAAATGTGAAGGTATTGTAATGTAAAAATATGTAAATGTAAAGGTGACATAGACATACCCAGATTGTGATTATGAATAACATACATACATGATACATCTTCCCTCTTACATATATGTCATCATGCTATTTTGACTTGTTTTTTTTTGTCTGTATGATTGTCTGTTTGTGATCAATAAATTATCACAGTTGTGAAAGAAAAAAAATGGCTGTTATTAAAAGTAACTTTTTTACAGAAAGAGAAAATTCTGTTTTATACAAGAAAATGAGCACATTAGAACAAAAAGATAAGGATGTTTCCCAGAAGGTACAAGGTATTCCAGGGTTCCTACAGGAGCAGGATATTCCAGGGTTTTTGCAGGAGCAGGATATTCCAGGGTCACTGCAGGAGCTGGGTATTCCAGGGTTCCGGCAGGAGCAGGATATTCCAGGGCTCCTGCAGGAGCAGGGACTGGGTATTCTAGGGCCCTTCGAGATGAACGAAACCGGTAACCTGAGCTGGGCCCTGGGATGTAGTGATCTAAACCAAACTGATGAAATAATGGTGGAGGCTTGTTCCTACTGGATAGAAGGGGTAACACTAGTAAGTAATGTTCTCTGGACCCCCCACCCCCCTCCCTTGAAAAAGAACAACCTCCTATGTTTCCTTTCTATCACAGAATCCCAGACTATAACTAAAATTAAACAGTATACTGTACTTTACTCTTGTTATACCTTTGTCCTAAACAAATATAACGCGATCCAAAAAATGTGTTCGTTTTTGCATCGGTTTGGGATCGTTTTTACATTGGTTTGGCATCGTTTTTGCATTGGTTTGGGATCGTTTTTCCATCGGAAAGGAATCGTTTTTGCATCGGTTTGGGATCGTCTTTGCATCGGTTTGGGATCGTTTTTGCATCAGTTTGGGATCGTCTTTGCATCGGTTTGGGATCGGTTTTGCATCGTTTTTGGGTCGTTTTTTCCATATATCTTCTGTCAGGGTCAAAAATTGAAAACGTGTGCAAGAAAATTAAATAATAAGAAAAAACAAAATGAAAATATTTGTTATTTTAACACTTTGGCAAATTTGGACCCCAAAAGAAAATATTGGCAAAAAACGACACAAAAAAAATACCGACTCTGAAGATACAGAGTAAAAACCCTTACAATGTAAATGTAGTAACAATTGTAGAGGGCAGTGTAATAAGGGAGACGGATTGCGGGTACAAAATGAGACTTTCGAAATCAATTTTTGTATTTTTACCAAGCTTTCAAACAACACTGATACACATAAACATGGAAACATAGAGAATTTGTCAATTAACAGCCTCTCATTGATTCAAACTTGTAATTTGAAATAAGGTTTGTTAGAAATCAAAATATAGAAAACTCGTCTTTGTTGTATTGATATAAACATCGACCACTTTATTTTTTTATCTTTTAGATGTGTGTCGGAATTCTTGGAATATTAATGAACTTTCTGGCAATTCTCTTGCTCAGCTCTAAACTAATGAAGGAACAAATCTCAAATTAATCTCAAAAAAAATTGAGACATTAAAGTAAAAATAATTCAGCATAAGAGTTTTCCTTTTTTACTTTCAAAAGGCTTAACACAAACCTAATAATAATTGTACTTACTTAATGTTTGCTTTTAAACAAAATAGTTGCAAAGTTGTTGACATTACTTTGCGGCAGGATAAAAATGTTACATTATGGAATTTATGAAAAAAATAATACTTTCAATAGAACTTTTTGAAATTCCAAAAAACACAGTCTTAAACTATTGTTCGTTCCCTAATCCATTATGCAAAATCTCCGTCCATTTTAAAAGTTACAGGCCCAAGTCATGCATACCTGAGATGATATTCTAAAAGCTTAAACCTGAGTGAACCCCAGAGTTGGGCTCAGATAGAACCCAAGTCAGTATTGGCTCTGATTCGACCAATTAAAGACTCCTTAGAAAGCTTTCTCTCTGTAGCAGACAGATTGCTAGCAGACCAGCTGTGAGAAGGATATGTAAATTTCGAAAATTCGAACTTTATGTAGATACATTATTTGCATAGTGTGTTTTTATTTCATGCCTTTGATCAAATTTGACACTTCAAATAATTCCCGAGATTTTAAATTTACGATCATCAGCTGCTGAAGACCCGAGCCTTGAAGAGAGAAAACCCCAAGGTAGTTGGTTTTTACTAAACTCAAGGCCATCCAAAATCCAGGTCTTGACTTGAGTTTTACTTGGGTCTAAGCAGACGCAAAGACTGGGTTTTACTCGGGTTTAAGCTTTTAAAATCTCATCTGGAATGTGCTTTCACCATTAGAAAAATTATGTATATCAAATGTTCAAAACTGGCATCAAATAAAGTTGTTTTACAGGTTCCCAAATACACCGTAGATTGCAGGATGTATCTTTTAACTATTTTCTGATGCAAAAATGTTGAAGATGCTGTAGACTGGATTAGTATTGGGGATTATATAGACTGAAAATATTTGTCGGAAAATTAACAAAGGAGTTTTCTATGGAAGGTTTACCAGGGAAATCAAAAAGAATATGTAAAAAGAAGGAGGGGAGATCTAGGGGGGAGGGGTGTAGACAAGATATTAGGTACTTAATTTCCCTAAGACATTTTTCCTAGGGACAATTTCCTAAGGGTGTTTTCCCATGTAGCAACTTCCCAAATTGCAATTTCCCAAGCGGTTGCCGCTTTGGAAAATGCCTTTGGGAAAGTACCCAACATCTATCATATGCCTTCTACACTATACACCTTAAAAACAATAAAAATATTGATCACTTTTTGCTTGTTAAAAACACCACAGCTAGCTAGTTATAACCATATACAGAACTTTTAACTAGCTCAGTGTGTTGACATTTTTTAGAATTAGTTGCTCGTTATTCGGAGATTATCGGAATGACAGTTTAAATCTCTGATTGTTATTAATTCTGAAAATAATATTTTTAGAATTCTCTTATCATATTTGACAAGATCAAACTTGAAAACATCAACAATAATTTATATTTTTTATTCGATGACTAAAGTATTTCCGTATTGTGTTTTCAAAATTGTGGAATTTAACTTTTTTCTTTTTGTATTTTTCATGATTTGCATATTCGACAAAATGTTGCACTTTATTAAAAAAATTTTAATAATAGATTTTGTGGTTCTAAATTCTCAATAGCTTTCAAATTCATTAATTTAAACCCTTTTTCCGATTGGGCTATTTTGTTCCAATATAGTTTATAAGAGCTGTAGCTCAACAAGTAAAAAGTTTAAGACTATTTTTTTTGAAACACTGACCAACCGATTTTGTTTTTGCTCTTTTGTTGGTAAACAACTTGATTTTGAAATAAAAGTAGAATCATAGGGCTTTCCTAAAATGTTTTAAGGGACATAGGGGGGGGGGGGGGTGGTTGTCTCTGGTCCCCCCTCTAGACTATAAGTTTAGGTAAAGAAGACTTGATTATTTTACAATATAAGAGAAAAACTGGAGGAGCAGTCATTTAGACTAATAAAAATGGAGATATGATTTTTTGATTTTTGTTTCTCATAAATCATCAAGTGTCCTTGTTGAAGGATCTTAGAAAACTTTCTTCTATACATAATCAATAACGTTATAAAATATCTTTGATTTAATATATAACATATGTTATTTTCAAGTAGATAATAAATGACTGAAAATAGAAAGAATATTTCCTGATTAAGAATTAAATCTAAATGTGAGATTCTTCATCAGAACTCGTTCAACTGCCTGCTCGCCTTTCTCTGCCTTCTCGACAACCTCTTTATCTTCTTGGTTATACTGGACTACAGTCTTGCCAGAGGTGAGTTCAACTGGACTACAGTCTTGTCAGAGGTTAGTTCAATTGGACTACAGTCTTGCCAGAGGTGAGTTCAACTAGACTACAGTCTTGCCAGAGGTGAGTTCAACTTGACTACAAGTCTACAGTCTTGCCAGAGGTTAGTTTAACTTGGCTACAAGTCTACAGTCTTGCCAGAGGTCAGTTCAACTTGACAACAAGTCTACAGTCTTGCCAGACGTTAGTTCAACTGGACTAAAGTCTTGCCAGAGGTTATAGTTCAACTGGAGTACAAGTCTACGGTCTTTACAGAGGTTAGTTCAACTTGACTACAAGTCTACAGTCTTTACAGAGGTCAGTTAAACTGGACTACAAGTCTACAGTCTTGCCAGAGGTCATTTCAACTGGACTACAAGTCTAAAGTCTTTCCAGAGGTCAGTTCAACTGGACTACAAGTCTCAGTCTTGCCAGAGGTCAGTTCAACTGGACTACAAGTCTACAGTCTTTACGGAAGAATTAGTTGAACTTGACTACAAGTCTACAGTCTTTCCAGAGGTTAGTTCAACTGGACTACAAGTCTACAGTCTTTCCAGAGGTTAGTTCAACTGGACTGCAGTCTTGCCAAAGGTTATAATTAAACTAGACTATCAGTCTTGATAGAGGTTAGTTTAACCCATGTTTAACCGGATTACAGTCTTGCCCAAGGCAAAATTTAAGATTAGTTTAGAATTAGTTAAAATGGGTATGGGAACTGGTAGGGTAACTGGTAGTATCATTATTGTTGACCGCTGTAATTTCAAAAATATACATTTGATAATAACACATTTTTGTTTTAGCTCTGAAATGGCCGTTTGATATGGAAAGTGAGGTTTACAGTATTCTAGTTCCTAGACTGGTCTATCCTCTGAACAACATTATATTTGCAGCATCCGTTTACACAACAATAACCATTTCATATGAAAGGTACAGGGTATCCCAATTAAAATGGATGTTAAAAAACAAATTTTTATCGTCTTTGTGAAGAATTAGCGACCTAATTTCAAATAAAGTTATATCTGGTAGAGTATATTTTACGTAAACCGCAAAAGACTTTCTTTTTATTTCCGAAAACGTTTATGATATTCTGTAATATTTCTGCAAGATGAAGAGTGTGGAGGAAAAAGAAAAAAAATCATTTAGAAAGACGACATTAAAAATCGTCAATAAGTTTTCATTTTTATTGGTTAGATCATAAGTTCATAGAGCAAACAAATCTATAGTTTACAGCGTATATTCAAGACTGTAATTTGAATTTTAATGGACATTTTTTGAACTTTTGTGACAATTCAATTATGGTTTGTTCAATTACCAGAGGTTAAATTTGTGAAAAGAAAAAAACGTGGAAAAAAATCAAATTACAAAATAAGGTTAAATTAAGATTTTAAGATGTTGAGATAAAAAAATCATTGTTTCTCAAATAAATGTCAATAATGAATGAAAATCACTTAAAATTCGCTAACAATCCCTTTAATGAGTTTATTTTGATGATAGATATCAAGCTGTTTGCACCCCATACGAGTACAGAGAAGTTTGCACCAACAAAACACTCAAGGAATAAACTTTTTTATATGTATACATTTATTATAATTAAATTTTAATATTTTTATATTTTTGGGCACATCATTTTCTTGTCAATATAATAATCTGAAATGCATAAAATCATAATTTTTTTATGTTATTAAATCAGAAGGCCTCCTTTTTCAATGACAAGTTTAGCCATTTTTCTTTGTAAATCATATTTCAAGGAGTGTCTGCTCATTTTCATACAAAATAAATATCGACATGTTTTCATTGTAAATCATATTTCAAGGAGTTTCTGCTCATTTTCAAACAAAATAAATATCGACATGTTTTCTTTGTAAATCATATTTCAAGGAGCGTCTGCTCATTTTCAAACAAAATAAATATCGACATGTTTTCTTTGTAAATCATATTTCAAGGAGCGTCTGCTTATTTTCAAACAAAATAAATATCGACATGTTTTCTCATTTCTGTCCAAAGTAACTATTTGCAACTATCCGAATACTAAACTTCCTTGGAATTGTTTAAGTTTCCACCAACGAGGTTATAGTGTAAAGAGTGATAATGTGCGCTAATCCTTTACTAATTATATAGACCATAAGGAGATTCTGGTATAGTATATCAATATTAGTAAACAGTTGTAAGTGTACAGTACAGTACAGTTTATCTGAGCACACAGGTAGAGAACTTTAATCCACCCTGGTTGCCACAACAGATCGGTTAGCAGTTTTAACGTTTATTTGATACAAAAAAAAACAAGAAAAGTAATCTAACGGTGTTGACACAAATCACGGACGGCTGGATTGTTGTTCGATGAACTCCTTGTAACCACAAACACTTAGTTGAAAATATGCTTATATTTCAAACCTACAAAATACAGTTTTAGTAATAATAAGTAATTATGACAAAATTGTCTTATGTTGTTTATAGGATTGTGTAACTTAGTAGTTGGGTTTGTCAGGGGTGATCAAGGAAAGGTTTGATCTAAAAGGAAGGTGATCGGAGGCCAAAATTAAAGAATTTGAGCCGCGGCTTAAATTTGAGACGTGGCTCAAAAATGGTTTGAACCACTTAAAATTGTATTCAATGTTTCAAGATTTAAGTCAGCGCTCAATTGAAACTGGTTTTTATCGGATTTGAGACACAACTCAAAATCATTAAGTTTGGACTCAGGTCAGTTTAAAGCATTTAGTTGTTTTAGCTTTCTTTATCTCTGTCTGAGACGGAGTTGTGCCGCAATACTTTCTCTGTTTTATATCTGACCCGATACAAAGATGAAGGGTAGGAAGACGACATTACGCTTGGATACAGTGGGATGTAGATTTATGTGCAAAAAAACGGATCTAACGGAGTGCTTTTAAACTGCCTAATAATATGACAAAGAACACACACCCAATTTGACTAAACGTCTAGCTGATATAATAACGAACAAAACACAAATGCAAGAACACGGAGATAGTAAACATTTGAAAAAATTGTTTAAATGTTTAATATATCTTTCAACTTTAAGGAATGGAGTCAAAATTTTGGAAAGCTTAAAGGAATAAAATACATTAATCATAGTCATTTATAAATTATCGGATACAAAAATACGACTTTCAAGTTTTAACACATATATTTTAATGAGTATTGGAATTTTTTTTTTGGACTTACTGTAGCTATTACACTTTTTAGTATTTAGTGAATTTGGCATTTTTCTTTTTTAGGTGTTATATTATTAGGCGTTATGCACCCACTCTTAATAAAACTTTATTTTTTATCATCTTCAAAATTTGCATGTGTAAAGAAGCAGAATTAATTTGCTTTAAGTTTGGTGAAATAAAATAAAAGAAACCCTTTCATCCTCTTTTTTCCACAAGTTCAAACATAAAACACGTTCTAACAAAAACATATTAATTTTCACTTAAGAGGACTGTAACTGTAATTCCAAATGACCCTCAATGCAAAGACGGTAATGCCCGATTTACAACGGTACCCTGGAAATCCTAATCTGATGAAGAATAAGAAATATACCGTCGTTCTTTTCATTAGAAAAGTGATTCATTCTAATGATTCTTCCATTGAGTTTTATTAGCAAGAAATGCACAAATCACTTTTACACAGAAATTGCAAATGAAAATAAACAGTTTAAAGAACTAAAAAATATAAAATTCATGTTTTAACAGACAAAGCTCTTAAGGGTACTATTATAAATGTGAGCATTGTCATCTTTGTATAGAGGGTCTCTTGATATTACGTTTACAGTCCCTTTAAACCTTGGCTGTGAAAGAAACTTTCGCCCAAATTTGATGGAATCAGGATTTTTACAAAACCAATTTGAATTGGGTAATGTATATTTGAAAAATGAATCGATTATAAAAGACCTAATATGACTTAATATTTTCCTAAAAACAAAAGATTATTAGTATCGTGTTCTCTCTCATATCCTTCCTGTTGCCTTCATCTCAATTCTACTCAATATTCCAAGGTCAGCTTTTACTACGAAAAATTGTCCTAAAGTGAGCAAAAAGTATATAATTTAATTGTTTTTTCTTATATTTTCTTATATTTTCTTATATTTTCTTATATTTTCTTATATTTCTTTTATTTTCTTATATTTTCTTATACTTTCAATCATGTTTTCTTATATTTTCTTATATTTTCTTATACTGTATTATGTTTTCTTTTATTTTGTTATATTTTCTTACATTTCCTTATATTTTTCTGCCATTTTTTATACATTTCTAACCAGAACCACTTACACTGGTCACTAATTACAATTTCCTGATTTTTTTAAAATTTTGGCTGGCTATGATTTTTATTTAGATTTTTCGAGACGGAGTTGATTTATGCTGAAGATTGTCTAGGGAAGCATTATTCAATATTTAGTTTAGCACGGCCATTGTAAACTCTGGTTTATTTCAAGTAACGGCCCGACTTTTAAGCAGCTAGAGCAAGCTATACAGTACCCACACACAGACTATATACACAGCGAAGCGAGACAGTACACCAAATGAATCATCTCCTTCTCTATGGAAATAATAGTTGGTAGGCCCGAAAATCTTGGATATTACACCTTAGATTGTATTAGGGGGGGGGGGGGGTTATACAAGCACTTTTTCCCGAATCCCAAGCCTTTTTTGAGTTCAACATTTTTCATGCAATGGGTTCTTTTTGGAAACATAATAAATGAAATTAACGAAATTAGAATTATAATGCGTTTAAACAGAAGAAGAGGAGACGGATAATGGATGCTCTAACCAATGGTAAAAATTAAGAAAATAATAAGCATGGTAACTAGAAAATATTCAAATTACTGATATCGGTTCTTTAAATTATTAAAAATGTCGAAAAGTGCTAAGAAATTTGTTTGTCACTGAATAGTATATAAAATTAGACAAATAATATTTCATTTTTAGCAATTACACATTTTAAGAGCCTGCACAAAACTTTAAACATAAAAGAAAGAAAAAGACGACACTAATCGGAGTAGGTACACAAAACCTGATTTTCTTGCACAACAGACAGTTAACAGACAGCTGACAGACAGATATATCTTTATCATGCCTACCAGGGAACTAAGGAGGACACTGGCCTCCTCCACGTCATCATGCAGGTTCACCATATACGTTTGTAGACCTCATCAAGAGATTCATCTCCTGTAGCTTCTAGAACTGGACCAATTTTTCTCGAACCAACCCGTCTGAACTACCCACTTGGATATCCTGGATAAAGAGGAGAACTAAGATACCCAAGATATCAGATGCTGCCTCATCCCTATATTATGATTATATGATTATTATTATATTATTTACTGAAAGCTCTTCACATATCTGGAGCAGCTCGAAGATCCAGTCAGACTTAGGACTCAAGTAGCAGACGCTAAACCTGATACTGGAGACGCCAATCTATAAAGACGGCTCTTCTCATATCTGGATCAACTTTAAGATTCAGTCAGACTTAGGACTCCAGGAGCAGAAGCTAAACCTGATACTGGAGATGCTGATCTATAAAGACAGCTCTTCACTTATCCATTACAGAAGAACACGATGATCTTGATACAGACAGCTCTCCGCATATCTGTTGTAGAAGCAACCTAGATAACTTTGAGACAGGGGACGCTGTCTTCATAGACCTGTTGTAGAAGCAGCTGAGGAACAAGATAATCTTGAGGCAAGAGACTCTAGGAGTAGATCCGGTAATGAACAGCTAACATAGTAGAGACTCTAGGAGTAGATCCGGTAATGAACAGCTAACATAGTAGAGGCTCTAGGAGTAGATCCGGTACTGAACAGCTAACATAGTAGAGGCTCTATGAACAGCTCCGGTACTGAACAGCTAACATAGTAGAGGCTTTATGAACAGCTCCGGTACTGAACAGCAAACATAGCAGAGACTCTAGGAGAAGTTCCGGGAATAAAGGAACAGCTGGGAATGAAGAGGAAACATCCCGTATTGTAGGAGCAGCTAAAGTAGCAGAGACTCTGGAAGCAGCTAGATTAGCATCTAAGATTGCTATGAAATAGATACTGTTTCTCAGATACCATAGCACGCAGATTCAACAAGAATAAACATAAACAGATGTATTTAGATCAATAAACTGAAAACCTGATAAATCCTATTCATTCATACTCTGAAAGATATATATAGAGACGACATTAAGGGGTTTATGAAACAAAGTACGGAGACTTCCAGAAAGACATACACGCCCTAAACTGAGGGGGCAAATGATTGATCTCAAAAATCCCTAAGATTTATGTCTGTAATTGTAATCGATAGAATAGAGAATTAATCATTACAATAAAATAAAAGCAAAGGTAGAGATCATGCCATTTTAACTTTAAAAAAATACTTTCTTAATCCTTTAAAGAGCCAAAACAAAATAATTTCAAAACTAAGTAAAATTAATGTTTAATGGCGTTCATCAAGGTTCTTCGCAAAATCTGACAAGAGCTTTCTAATAAACTATATTGTTTCAAATCTATTGTTAGGAAATGGTTGCTTTAACTTGTTTAGACTGCAAGAGCTAAACTATTACAGTCGATTCAAATACGTATCCTTGGTTCTGTAGTGTAGTTTTAACATATATAGGACATGGACAAATCTGAATCACCGATTAAAAATACGTGGTTGAACCGTCATTAAACCTGTAGGCGCAAACTCATTAAATCCAGTATCATTAGGGCACATTTTTAGAAATAAAGGAATAACCATAAAAAACCTGGAATAGGAAATCGACTTTTAAACTTAAGATATGACTTCAAATAGTCGATCAAATGAACTAGTCGATCCAATGAACTGGTCGATCCAATGAACTGGTCGATCTAATAAACTGGTCGATCCAATAAACTGGTCGATCCAATGAACTGGTCGATCTAATGAACTAGTCGATCCAATGAACTAGTCGATCCAATGAACTAGTCGATCCAATGAACTGGTCGATCCAATGAACTGGTCGATCTTATGAACTAGTCGATCCAATGAACTGGTCGATCCAATGAACTAGTCGATCCAATGAACTAGTCGACCCAATGAACTAGTCGATCCAATGAACTAGTCGATCCAATGAACTAGTCGATCCAATGAACTAGTCGATCCAATGAACTGGTCGATCCAATGAACTAGTCGATCCAATGAACTGGTCGATCCAATGAACTAGTCGATCCAATGAACTAGTCGATCCAATGAACTAGTCGATGCAATGAACTGGTCGATCCAATGAACTAGTCGATCCAATGAACTAGTCGATCCAATGAACATGAAGCACAACAATTGTGAATTGCAAACCCATTTAAGTTAACAAGTGATTTAATAACTCAGTGTTAAAGCTCTTTGGTTTGTAACAACATCAAATGTACTTGCTTTGATGTCGTCTTCCTATTCTACAGTTTTCTGGTTATCACTGTATGACCGTGTTCCAAATTATAATTGAAATTTCTGATAAAAAGACGACTTAAGAAAAAACGGATATAATTCCAGGATCCTGACCTACAAGATCACCGAGCTCAGGCTGAACCCTGATTATGTCAGGTACAGTGGTAGGCGACTATATCAATTCTACGAAGACGACTTTTAAAAATAATTCTTTGATTCCTTACACGCATTTGTGAAATTACAAGTTTTCAAGTACACAACGAGAAGCTATTAATTAACAACTTCTCTTTGTTTACATGTTTATATGGCTCTGCTGTTTAAAAGATTGGCGGAACTCAAAAACTAAAAAGAAAGGCGTATTCTTTGAATTGATATATACGTCGACGACTTGCCCTCGAAAAAAAGAAAAATACAACAATACAATTAGTAACACAAAACTTAACATACGTATTGTTAAATAATTTCTAAGGGCCAATCAGTGTTTCTCGTAAATTGCCTTAACAGATAATGTCTAATTGCTTTGAAACTGTTGATAACTCAATCGAAATAATTCCAATGTTCGGAACATTTTTATAATTCCGTAGAAATTTAAACAGTCCAATGTTCGGAACGTTTCTATAATTCTACAGAAATTTAAAAAGTCCAATGTTCGGAACATTTCTATAATTCCTCAGAAATTTAAAAAGTCCAATGTTCGCAACATTTCTATGCTTCCGCAGAAATTTAAAACGTCCAATGTTCGGAACATTTATATAATTCCTGTTCCTAATACTGTGTCCGACCCACCTTAAATCCCTGTCCTAATCCTATATTTTTGTTCCTAATTCCTTAACAATCTTTTTATTGTTCCTAAATCCCTGTCCGAATCCTTTAATGTTGTTCCTAATTCCTGAACAATCTTTTAATTGTTCCTAAATTCCTGTCCTATTCCTAATCCTTTAATTATGTTCCTCATTCCTGAACAATCTTTTAATTGTTCCTAAATTCCTGTCCTAATCCTTTATTTTTGTTCCTAATTCCTGAACAATCTTTTAATTGTTCTGAAATTCCTGTTCTAATCCTTTAATTTTGTTCCTAAAATTTAAAAAACTAGTTTTTTAGTCTTAAGTCATTAATTTTGACTCTTTTTTAGTCTTTTAAGTCAAAAAAAAATTTCGTCTGCAGCACAATTTTTTGTTCCTAATTATTAATTTTTTTGTTCCTAAAAAATCTTGCCCCCCCCCCCTCACTTAAATCCTGTATCCGCCCCTGCGCAGAAATTTACAAATCACAACTGGGTCTTTCAGCATCTTTATCTTTCATCCAACAATTGTTTTCAAGACATTCTGGAAATTTCATAAGGTTTATAAACAGAATCAACATCAGATTTGATAAAACAACAGAACTCAATATTTAATAAATAATAATTTTCCACCTTTTTATCTCTGTATTTGATGTTAAGAGTGCTTAAGATAATTCTCTTGAATTTGTTGAGGGCGAACTCCAGCGAACAATATGAAAAATGGAAAATGAAAAAAGAAAGAAAGAAAGATAAAAAACAAAAGACGATAATAACATAGGTTCAAGATGACCTAGGTTCAAGATGAACTAGGTTCAAGATGAACTAGGTTCCACATGAACAATGTTCTACATGAAATAGGTTCCGCATGAATTAGGTTCCACATGAACTAGGATCCACATGAACTAGGTTCTAAATGAACTAGATCCTATATGAATTAAGTTCTAAATTAATTAGGTTCTACATGAAATAGGTTCCACATCAAATATGATCATCCTTTGTCACTTTCATGTACAAAATGGTACCACATGAAATAGGTTTCACATCAAATATGATCCACATGAAATAGGTTCCACATCAAATATGATCCACATGAAATAGGTTCCACAACAAATATGATCCACATGAAATAGGTTCCACATCAAATATGATCTACATGAAATAGGTTCCACATCAAATATGATCTACATGAAATAGGTTCCACATCAAGTATGATCTACATGAACTAGGTTCTACATGAAATATGATCTAAATGAACTAGGTTCTAAATGAACTATGTTCTACATGAACTAGGTTCTAAATGAATTATGTTCTACATGAACTAGGGTCTACATGAACTAGGTTCTAAATGAACAATGTTCTATATGAACTAGGTTCTACATAAACTATGTTCTAAATGAACTATGTTCTACATGAACTAGGTTCTAAATGAACTAGGGTCTACATGAACTAGGTTCTAAATGAACAATGTTCTATATGAACTAGGTTCTACATAAACTATGTTCTAAATGAACTATGTTCTACATGAACTAGGTTCTAAATGAACTATGTTCTACATGAACTAGGTTCTAAATGAACTATGTTCTACATGAACTAGGGTCTACATGAACTAGGTTCTACGTGAACTGTGATCTAAATGAACTAGTGTCCACGATAAAGGTTCTAAATTTACGTAGGCTCTACATGGACAATTCTTTTGAATTTGTTGAGGGCGAACTCCAGCAGAACAATATGAAAAATGAAAAATAGAATAAGTGTTACTAAAAGAAAGATAAAAAACAGAGACGATAATAGCCTAGGTTCCACATGAACTAGGTTCCACATGAACTAGGTTTTAAAAGAACTAGATTATATATTAACTAGGTTCCACATGAACTAGGTTCTAAATGAACTAGGTTTTATATAAACAATGTTCTACATGGACTAGGTTCTATATGCATTAGGTTCTACATGAACTAGGTTCTACATGAACTAAGTTCTACATGAACTAGGTTCTGTATGATTTAGGTTCTACATGAACTAGGTTCTATATGAACTATGTTCTACATTAACTCGGTTCGACATGAACTATGTTCTGCATAAACTAGGTTCGATATGAACTAGGTTCTATATGAACAAGGATCTACATGAACTAGGTTCTATATGAACTAGGTTCTATATGAACTAGGTTCGATATGAACTAGGTTCTATATGAACAAGGATCTACATGAACTAGGTTCTATATGAACTAGGTTCTACATGAACTAGGTTCTATATGAACTAGGTTCTATATGAACTAGGTTCTATATGAACTAGGTTCTATATGAACTAGGTTCCACATGAACTAGGTGTGATATGTACTAGATTCTACAAGAAATAGATTCTAGATTAACAAGGTTCTACATGAATTATGATCTAAATAAACAAGGTTCTCCATGAACTGGGGTCTACATGAACTAGGTTCTACATGAACAAGCTTCTACACGAACTAGGTTATAAATGAACTAGGTTCTATATGAATTAGATTCTTCATGAATTAGGTTCTATATGAATTAGGTTTTATATGAACAACATGAAGTAAGTTCTAGCGAACTAGGTTCTACATGGACTAGGTTCTATATGAACTAGGTTCTACATGAACTAGGTTCCATATGAACTAGGTTCTACATGAACTAGGTTCTACACGAACTGTTCAGGTTATATATGAACTGTTCAGGTTCTACATGAACTAGGTTCTACATAAACTGTTCAGGTTCTACATAAACTGTTCAGGTGTTACATACACTGTTCATTTTCTACATGAACTGTTCAGATTCTTCATGAACTAGGTTCTTGATAAACTGTTTAGGTTCTTCATACACTGTTCAGGTTCTACATAATCTTTTCAGATTCCACATAAACTGTTCAGATTCTACATAAACTGTTCAGGTTCTACATAATCTGTTCAGGTTCTACATAATCTGTTCAGGTTCTACATAATCTGTTCTGGTTCTACTTAAACTTTTCAGGTTCTACATAATCTGTTCAGGTTCTACATAATCTGTTCAGGTTCTACATAATCTGTTCAGATTCTACATAAACTGTTCAGATTCTACATAAACTGTTCAGGTTCTACATGATTTGTTCAGGTTCAACATAATCTGTTCAGGTTCTACATAATCTGTTCAGGTTCTACATGAACTGTTCAGGTTCCACATAATCTGTTCAGGTTCTACATAATCTGTTCAGGTTCTACATAATCTGTTCAGGTTCTACTTAAACTTTTCAGGTTCTACATGAACTGGTGCCAGCTGACCCTCACCAGCATCCTTCCAGTCCTTCTTCTAATCTACTTCAACATAAAGATATACCGGGGGATAAAGTGAGTACTGGGAGATAAAGTGAGTATCAGGGAATAAAGTGAGTATCAAGGGATAAAGAGAGTACCAAGGGAGTGAGTAACGGGGGATAAAGTGAATACCTGGGGACAAAGTGAGTACCAAGGGATAAAGTAAATACCAAGGGATAAAGTGAGTACCGGGGGATAAAGTGAGTACCAAGGGATAAAGTGAGTGCCGAGTAATAAAGTGAGTACCAAGGGATAAAGTAAATACCAAGGGATAAAGTGAGTTCCGGGGGATAAAGTGAGTACCGGGGGATAAAGTGAGTGCCGAGTAATAAAGTGAGTACTGGGGGATAAAGTGAGTACCACGGGATAAAGTGAGAACCGGGTGATAAAGTGAGTACCGGGGGATAAAGTGAATACCTGGGGATAAAGTGAGTACCAAGGGATAAAGTGATTACCGGGTGATAAAGCATATCCAATTCCTGTATTTGGTCATATATTTCACTTAGGTTGGCTGTAAATTGCGTTATTTGGTCATAGTGTTAATCTTTATCATTTTATACTACAGTAAAAATGTTTATAACATCACTATTTTTCATGAGTCTATTCCTAACAAAAAACGTTAAAATTATTTTTCACTTAAAAAACACGAACAAAAATAAACACCCAAATCCGACAAGAATGAACTTTAGAAAAAAATAATAATATTTGATTTTAATATTATTCACCCCTAACACAAATAAAAGTTGAAAACCTTTTCTCAGACATAAATCTGTCTTCCTATTAATTATTATTGATGATCATCGAGCTGTTCTGCGAGGAGAGGATCATCTATAAAGAATGATGAAGGTCTTTCATATCTTATCAATTAAAATTAATAAATAACTTTTAAATTTGATTTGTAAGAATGGATCTGGACTGATCACAGAAGGTTCCGGACTGGGCAGAGTTGGAGCCTATAAATGATCAAGAAAGTCCAGACTGGACGGTGCTCTGATGGAGTTCTAGAAGGTCCGGACTGGACGGTGCTCTGATGGAGTTCTAGAAGGTCCGGACTGGAGGTTGCTCTGATGGAGTTCTAGAAGGTCCGGACTGGAGGTTACTCTGATGGAGTTCTAGAAGGTCCGGACTGGAGGTTACTGAGATGGAGTTCTAGGAGGTACGGACTGGAGGTTGCTCTGATGGAGTTCTAGGAGATCCGGACTGGAAGTTGTTCTGATGGAGTTCTTGGAGGTCCGGACTGGAGGTTGCTCTGATGGAGTTCTAGGAGGTCCGGACTGGAGGTTACTCTGATGGAGTTCTAGGAGGTACGGACTGGAGGTTACTCTGATGGAGTTCTAGGAGGTACGGACTGGAGGTTACTCTGATGGAGTTCTAGGAGGTACGGACTGGAGGTTACTCTGATGGAGTTCTAGGAGGTACGGACTGGAGGTTACTCTGATGGAGTTCTAGGAGGTACGGACTGAACGTTGCACTGACGGAGTTCTAGGTGGTCCGGACTGAACGTTGTTCTGACAGAGTTCTAGGTGGTCCGGACTGAACGTTGCTCTGACGGAGTTCTAGGTGGTCCGGACTGGAGGTTGCTCTGACGGAGATCTAGGAGGTCCGGACTGGACGTTGCTCTGACGGAGATCTGGGAGGTCCAGACTGGACGTTGTTCTGACGGAGTTCTAGGAGGTCCGGACTGAACGTTGTTCTGGCGGAGTTCTAGGAGGTTCGGACTGAACGTTGTTCTGACAGAGTTCTAGGAGGTTCGGACTGAACGTTGTTCTGACAGAGTTCTAGAAGGCCCGGACTGGAGGTTGTTCTGACGGAGTTCTAGGAGGTCCGGAGTGAACGTTGGTGGAGCTCGGAAAGGAGTCTGGAGATGATTGGTGAATCTTCCTAGTTATCCGCGAGTACAGATCTGTTATTCACCTCCCTAACAATATGGCCTAGGCCGTTTGGATTTACAGAGAACTGGTTTTAATATGCACGCGAGACCACAACTAACTTTCCTTGCTTTAGTACCTTGGGTATGGGTATAACCAAATTCAGCATTTTTTTTAATATAACCAAATAACGCACTTTACTCTACTGGGAGATAAAACATTCCCTTTAAGATACAGCCTCCTTCTGTTTTTTAAACACTCTCTTTAAGATACAGCCTCCTTCTGTTTTTTCAACACTCTCTTTAAGATACAGCCTCCTTCTTTTTTTTAACACTCTCTTTAAGATACAGCCTCCTTCTGTTTTTTAAACACTCTCTTTAAGATACAGCCTCCTTCTGATTTTTTAACACTCTCTTTAAGATACAGCCTCCTTCTGTTTTTTAAACACTTTCTTTAAGATACAGCCTCCTTCTGTTTTTTAAATACTTTCTTTAAGATACAGCCTCCTTCTGTTTTTTAAACACTTTCTTTAAGATACAGCCTCCTTCTGTTTTTTTAACACTCTCTTTAAGATACAGCCATATCCGGAGTGGGAACAGAGCAAAGCACGAGGCAGGACTGGCGATCATTCTTCTCTGTATAGGAAACTTCATAATTTAAACATCAAACATTTTAAATTTTTTCTTTTAAAATTTAATATTTTTTAGCTTTTGATGCAAACTTTATTGACGCGATACAGGATTCGATAATTAACATTTAACCATAATTATTAACCAGTGGTTTACAGTGAGAACCAGAAAGTTGTGGAAAGAATGTCATCTCTTTCTTTTGCTGAATAAGTGTTGCAAAATAATTTTTTGCGTTTGTTGCCTTTTTTTATTGAATGAATTCTGATTTCTAGTATTTGTGTTTATAATCTGTCAAATACCGAGGGTCATTCTCAACACGCAGGAGATAGTCAGGATGGAAGATATAATCAGGTTATTCGATTTTTAAAGAGATTTTTGAGTATTTTATGGGATTTCAGGGCTTTAAAAACCAAATCACACATTTTTTGGATCACCTGATAAATATTTTTTGCGCTGCACGGTTAAAAATATAGTTACATATACAGGAAACCATCCTGCTTGGTTACTGTATCACAAATGTACACATGTAAACTATTATGTACATTATAATTTACACATGTAAACTATTATGTACATTATAATGTACACATTTAAATTACAATGTAAACTATAATGTACACATTTAAATTACAATGTAAACTATAATGTACACATTTAAATTACAATGTAAACTATTAAGTACGCATTTAAATTACAATGTACACTATAATGTACACATTTGAATTACAATGTACACTATACAGATGTAAGGAGGAATTCAACCCTCCAGCATGGTTTCACTGTACTGCAAGTCTCAATCACCTTATGCTCGTGTTTTCAGGTAAAATATTGACTTTTAAGACATTGTTTACAGATTCAACATTACTGGTACAACTTTGCCATCTTGTAGCTCATCTAGGTTCATTTAAAAACACATCCGAACAACAAAGGATTTGAGTCTTTGCCACAAACTCAAACTTTCCAACTCCTATTTCCAATCTTAGATTAATTTCCAACAGAATTCATAGTTTGAAATATCTAAGGGTTATCACATTGGGTTGCACAGATATAGGGATCAGAAAATTACAGTTTATGGCAAAAACTCATTTTCTTCATTAGTTAACATTTTACTTTAAGAAATATAAAACATGTTTATTTTACACAAAAGCTCTTCAATTTTAGTTCTGATTGAAAACTTTAGTTTGACGTCAAAGGAATTGAGCCACAAATTCAAATGTTCTAATCCCTAAATCTTAGCAACCCGATGGTGTAAACCCTTGAAATTTCAAACTACGACTATTTGATCCAACAGAATTTAAAGTTTAAAATACCTAAGATCTACGACATCGGGTCGCAAAGATATAGGAGTTAGAAAATCAGAGTTTGTTGCAAAAACTCAATTTCTTTAATCTTAATTGACTTTTCATTTCTGGAGTCTTATTTCCGATTCTCAACTGTGGTTCTCTTTAAACCTTTATCTGATCTAGATTGAATGAGAAATCCTTGTGCTAACTCTATCAGAAAATTGATTATTTGAAATTGTGACTTCTCTTTAAAAGTGACAAGAAAGGTCTTTTAAAACCTTAACTGTTTTCTAGTTGAGAAACGTAGATATCTTTCTTACGGTTACTCAGATAAAGGTTTAAAGGGTATCGTTGTGACTTGGACTATCCACTCTTAAAAAAAAAGTTGCTTCAAATCACGTTTACAGTTCCTTTAACTAAAACTATAGTTTTTTGTAGAAATTTGTTTATCTCTTTCACAAAAAAAATTAAAACTTGACGACATTTTAATTTGACATTCTTTTCATGCCTTTGTTTCTAAAAATATTCAGATTTCGAATTTGTTTTTAAAATTGAAATTTCTTAACATCAAAAAGATAAATATCTAGTTTATTACCCTGTTTAACTAATACAATTATGTATTGATAAAAATATTGTATAGGTTGGTACTGAAAAAGATAAACTGTATTGCCCATTTCTAATATATTTGCGACCTGATGATGTAATCCAACAACTTTAAACTTATTAATTTACAGGGTTACACACAAAGAAGGAGACAAAAGAGACGACTCTGCAGAATTTATTTTGTCATCCTTTGCTTATTTCTTTGCCAAATAAACTTGTTTGGAACTAAAATACTATACGTATATCACAGAAAACCGATTCGACCTTTTCTTAGGAGTTTAAAAGAGTTTAAGGTAATTGTAATTAAAGTCGCATTCTTTGTGAATAACCCTATAACAGAATTTAAAATTTGAAATATGAAAGGTCTACATGGCATTATATTGAGAAGATATTAAAAAAGTGTGTGACCATTATCTAGTTTTTTTTTGGCAAAAAATACTATTAAGAATTCTAGGTACACAGTTCACATACTACAGTAGTAAACAAAACTTCAGATTGGAAGTTGTCGTCTTCTTTATCTCTGTAAATTTTATGTTTCAGCTTCAAGTAACTTCTGGATATATCTACTGCTCAGCAAACGGTTCAGGGGTAAGATGAAGAATTTAATGCTTAGGTAAGTTAGTTTTAGTTGCAATACCTTTTCTTACCTTCTCCCTTCCTCTCATATAGTCCTATTCGCCCAGTAAACTTTTTTCAACTTAAATGGGCAGGGAGGCATTTTACAGCCATACAATAAATGGAAAAATATTGATTGATATTTCAGTCTTTAATAAAAGTACTTTAAAAATTCCTTTCAATAATAATATATTTTTTACTAAGATGTTTTATCTCAAGTTATCAACCCATCATACATTTTGTTAAGCAGGATTGTTGTAGAGATGTATATATCTATTTAAATACTAGTTGAAGTGTATGGCGCTGCCTGTTGAATTTCAAAAAAAAAATTTAAAAGAAAGAAATCAAAAGCTTGTGTTACCTCCGAATACCTTTGAGTTCCCTAAAAATAATTTGGGCCAGCCGTTTGGCCAGCTATAGCTAATATATATATAAATATGAACACATATGAGCAAAAAGCCTTATTATTTAAATATATATTTGTAGGTTAGTTTGTCTTCCTGAGATTGCAGAAGTTAAGATTAGCAGCAGTGGAAATGACGTGTCACTACAAAAGGTTTGTCAGACCAAATAGTTCAGTTAAAGCCTCCAAAATTAAATTAAATCTTATTTGTTATGTGATGTTATTTCTACTTATTTTCTATTTATAAAGTGACATGTTTAATTCACAAACGGTCCCCTTAACAGCTTTGCTGATAAAGAAAGATTGAGCAGTGAGCTATCCGTGTTTAACTTTTTGAAAATTAATTATTAGTCGTTTTGTTTCTCTTTTTAATGACTTGTGGAGTTCTGCTTGCAGAAACAATAGAGAAAATTATCATTATCAATTACTTTCCAAGCTATAAAAACCACCACATATTCCATATTATTGATCAGAGAAGGATTTAAAGAGTACCGTTGTTAATCAAGTATGTCCCATTTAAATGGAAGATTATTACAAAGAGTTTCTGCACATATCTGAAAATAAGACAAATTGCAGATTCATATATAAAAAAAGATTAAGAAATCCGGAGGGAGGGGGGGGTCAAAATTGTGTGATTAAATGTTTTAGCGAAATATATATTTATTTATCTATCTATATACTTTTCAGAAAAAACGAAACCTTTCCAATGTTTCTTTTTAAAAATTTGCCAAATAAATAGAAATTATTTAAATCATCATTTTCATGATAATTATATTTTTAGTGTTTTCTATTACAATAAACAATCTTTTGCAAATCATATGGTTTAACATTAAATATTAATATTTATAGCATTAAAGGGATTGTAGGCGAATTTCAAGTGACCCTTTATGTGAAGAGTGGTATTTCTGATTTCTAGCGGTGTACCCTTTTATTTTTTGTTAAAGATAAATAAGATTTTAAGTTTTTTAGCTAAAACTGGTTTTTAAATGTGGGTTTTCTGTAAAACCTACGAGCGGATAAATACTACATTTATATTATATGCTTCAATACAAGGTCACATGAGATATCGTGTACACTGTACTGTCCCTTTAATAAGATATGTTTAGACAATTCAGAACCAAGAGCTAGAGATGGTTGATCTGTCTGCTCCAAACTCGGCATAAATAAAAAATTCCCACCACTCAAAACTCTGGTTCATTTGAAGTACCGTACCGACTGAAGAGCAAGTAGTACATTGTATGTACAGAACAGACTATATGATGACCAAACTGGACAGTACATCGAAGAGATCCTCCGCATTGATTAATAACAATACAGATTTCAGGGTTTTTAGTTAACAAAAACCATGAGGCAGATGCTCAAAAAAAGTTACGTGCATTCTCTCTCTGTATCTTGTAAATCAACGATATCTGCGCGGAACTCCTTTGGGCTTCCGCCTCACGGTTATTGTGAACGAAAAACTTGAAAACTTGTTATTTATCTATGATCCCCTTCTAGGGAAGTAATTGTGCCACTAATCTTGGCAAATTTCTAATTTTTATTTACCAACAGAAGTTTTTCATAGTTGACGGAAAATTTCGTTGTCTGCCAATTTAACTATTAATAATAAACGAAAGATTAATTTAGTTAAGGATTGAAGCCCAACCCCAACCATATTTCTTGAACACTGACAACCCCCCTCTTATAACCATTGTATATATGTGAATAAATCGTAAACATTGTTGTAGTTACCATTGTATATATTGTGAATACATAGTAAACATGATTTGGTTACCATTGTATATATGTGAATACATCGTAAACATGATTTGGTTACCATTGTGTATATGTGAATACATCGTAAACATATAATTTGGTTACCATTGTATATATGTGAATACATCGTAAACATTGTTGTAGTTACCATTGTATATATGTGAATACATCGTAAACATATCATTAGGTTACCATTGTATATATGTGTATACATCGTAAACATATCATTTGGTTACCATTGTATATATGTGAATACATCGTAAACATAACATTTGGTTTCCATTGTATATGTGTGAATACATCGTAAACATGATTTGGTTACCATTGTATATATGTGTATACATCGTAAACATATCATTTGGTTACCACGGTACATATGTGAATATATCGTAATCATATCATTTGGTTACCATGGTACATATGTGAATACATCGTAAACATATCATTTGGTTACCATTATATATATATATATATGAATTAAACATATCATTTGGTTACCAATGTATATATGTGAATACATCGTAAACATATCATTTGGTTACCATTGTATATATGTGAATGCATATTAAACATATCATTTGGTTACTATTGAATATATGTGAATACATCGTAAACATATCATTTGGTTACCATTGTATATATGTGAATACATCGTGAACATATAATTTGGTTACCATGGTATATTTGTGAATACATCGTAAACATATTATTTGGTTACCATTGTATATATGTGAATACATCGTAAAAATATCATTTGGTTACCATTGTATATATATGTATATATCGTAAACATATCATTTGTTTACCATTGTATATATGTAAATACATCGTAAACATATCATTTGGTTACCATTGTATATATGTGAATACATCTTAAACATATCATTTGGTTACCATTTTATATATGTGAATACATTGTAAACATATCATTTGGTTACCATTGTGTATATGTGATTACATCGTAAACATATCATTTGATTGCTATTGTATATATGTGATTACATCGTAAACATATCATTTGGTTACCATTGTATATATGTGAATACATCGTAAACATATCATTTGGTTACCATTGTATATATGTGAATACATCGTAATCATATCATTTGGTCGTAAACATATCATACATCGTAAACATATCTCTGTGATTGTTATAATTCAATAAACGACTATTGTGATTTCGTGTATTGCATAAATAAGTAATTGTAATTAGTGTGATCAGGTGTATAAGTTAATGTTTATATAATCAATTCAAAACTGTAATAAGTGTAATAAATGTAATAAATGTAATTTCTGTAACTTTTGTGATCAGAAATCTAAACTTTTGTGTGGATATTATTAAGTTTAAAACGCGGTTGATCTCGATTTCCAATGTGGGCACTATTAGAAGTTCTGATCTTGGAATTAAGAACCTTTTTATTAAATCTCAGAATATCATCGTGATAGGTGTAATCAGTTGATAACGTTAATAGAATATTAAGAATTAAGACTATTGTAAGATATCCTAGCATCCTGTTCAAATGTAAATTTGATTTGGAAAAAAAAGTTAAAGAGCAAACTCTTGTAAATAAATATTATTAATATAATTTGCACATTGCTTATGAATTTATAATAATGGCGTTGCATGTAATGTGTAATTGAAAATAAAACAAAAGAAAATAAAAAAGTTATTGGCAAATTTACAAAATTGCAAACTAATAAAATTAGTTAACCCTTAAACCTCTAGTTTTTTTTTTGTCCAAGCACTCTTATTTTTTACACTATCACCTTGAAAGTTTTTGCCATCTTTGGAAGATTAATTTAAAGAATATGAAAAAATGTAATGCATAATTACAGCTCACAGGACGGTAAAAATTCCGGTCCGTGTTAGAACAAAATCTAAAATAGCCCATATCAATTTTGAGACTATATAAAACTACAGATCTAAAAACTACTTTGTGGAAAAGCCCTTGCAAAATAGACAGAGAAACATACGTTTTCAGTATTAGTTTTTTTAAAATTATTAAATAACGACGACATAAAATGTCAAAAAGTTCTACAATAAACTACAGACGTATAGGAACATGTTGAGAAAATAAAAATTAATCTTATCATCGAAAATAAGTTATCTTGTTCAATTATTAGTTTCTATTTTCTTATTATTCTGGTTTCTCATCATTCACAAAGTTTTCGCAGATTTTCGAGAATTATTATTAAAAAAAAAGACGACACTTGAAGAATTTAAAGAAATCTGCGAATAAATTCAATGAAAATAAGAAATTCAATATAATAATGAAAACGAAATAATCGATTTTAGCATTGATTTATTGTCAAATTTCTTTTGAGAAATATGTTTCTAACTTTCTAACTAGATTACTGTATAATTTTTACTTTATCCACCCCCAAAGTAAGTGTTTTAAACGCCGAATTAAATGAATCCGAAAGAAGTTTCCCACAGCTCTGCATACTCAGTTCAACTACCTTACATAGCCGGTCACTCCCTTTAAAAAAAAGTTTTAATGCTTAGGTGTATACCGTTTTTAAGTTACGGAGAAAAAAAGGCACGGGGGGGAGAAGAGGTAATCTGTGTGTGTAGGGCTTTACAAATTTAAATAATTTCAAAGATATTTCCAGAAATTTCCTATTCAAATCCGTTTCCCGCAGAATCAAATTAGTAGTTTTATGTTTTTATTTGTAGAAATTTTACATGAAAAGGTTTCATTAATTAATTCCAATTTGTTTAAAAATTTCTGCGTACTGAAATAAAATGTTAAAAGGGACTGTACAAGCTAATTTTTAATTACCCTCAATTTAAAGTGTATTTCTGGATTTAGATCTGGTTTAAAACAATGTCCAAAGATTAAGACTAAAATGTTTTAACCTGTTTTTGTATACATGATGATAACAGGTTAGAAAAAAACATGGCAAGTAGTTTTTAATAAATAAAAAAGCAGTCTGTAATGAATCGTTCAACTAATAAATTTTCTGAATTTATTCTCCTCGATATTATCTTAATACATATCTTTCTCCGTGTATCTCTGTTCACTGCAAACTCTTTTAAAGTTTAAACTAGTTTCAAATTTAAAGTACTCAGACTGTCACAATTATATCAAGAATAAATACAATGAACAAATTCTTTCCTGTCTTGTCTCTTATACACAGATCCACAGGTTGCTTTTGTAGAAAAATCAGAAACCACCAATTTTACAACAACATCTCCATTACCAGAAAAAAATTTCTGTTTGGATCTATATTTGGGTTTGCATTCTGTCTGGATCTGTTTGGATCTATATTTGGGTTTGCATTCTGTGTGGATCTAGTTTTGGGTTTGGATCTGTTTGGATCTGTTTGGATCTATATTTGGTTTGCTTTCTGTTTGGATCTGTTTGAATCTCTGTTTGGATCTATATTTGGGTTTGCATTTTGTTCGGATCTATATTTGGGTTTCCATTCTGTTTGGATCTGTTTGCATTCTGTTTTGATCTGTTTTGATCTGTTTGGATCTGTTTAGATCTGTTTGGATCTGTTTGGATCTGTTTGGATCTGTTTGGACCCGTTTGGATCTGCTTGGATCTGTTTGGAAATTTTTGGATTTTTTTTATCTATTTAGATCTGCTTTGATCAATTTGATCTGCTTTGATGAGACTTCAGAGACGACTGTACATAATTTATAAAGTCCTTTAGATAGTCATATTCATAGAGTTTTTGGTCGTCTTTTAATCTCATTCTTTGTGGGTAATTCTGTATTAGTTCTCAGATTTTGATCAATGTCGTCGTCTTAAATCAAGAATTCAATGTTATTAACCTTTAAAATAAAACTTTTTGAGACAACTTGTTAGGATGAATAAACGCTGTTGAGAAAGCACCTTTCGATATAAAGATATAAAGATATAGAAATGGATCAAAATATTTTTTTAATCAGCGTCTAATTTAATATATTTTATCAAAATGATCAAAAAATATTTTTTTTCTAAGTAAAAAAAGATTGTTGAGAAAACGTTAACAATACTTTATTTAATACATTTTTATACAGTTTAAATAACTGTATTAAAAGTTAATATAACCCGCAAAAAAAATTGGATTTATTTAGTTCCCTTTCATGGTTCAATATCCGTCAGATGGTTTAATTATTTCAAAATAAATCTTTAGATTTTAAATTACATTTCACGCAAAATAGAAAATTTCCTCAGACTATTAGCAAAATTTTACTTCTATATTGGATAACTAGGGCTGGGCATTGGACAAAGTTCCGTTAACGAAACGGAAGTGTTTGAAAATTTACGGAAGAGTCTGTTAATGAACGGCAAAACACATAAATTTTTAACGGTAATGGAAAAAACGATGAATTAAAAACGAAACGAAAATGAATATCTACACTCCATATATAGTTATACTCATAAGTAGGGTTGTTAATCGTTTTTGAAAACGATCTTTAAACGATCATTTTTTGTTTCGTTTTTCGATCGTTTTCAATAACAATAATTTCCGGAAAAAAACGATCGTCTATAAAAACGTCCCACTCGTTTTGAACTTTTAGAAAACAAATAAAGATCGGTTTTGAAAACAGTCGTTTTTATAAAAACGATCAGCAATCGTTTTTTATTCGATTGTTTTTTTTTGAAAAACGATTGTTTTTGGCAAAAAAATGGTCATTGATAAATATGTTAATGATCGTTAACAAAGGGTCTTCGTTAACGATTGTTAACGAAGATCTTCCTTAACGATCGTAAACAAAGGGTTGTCTTTGACGATCTTTAACAAAACGACAAACTTTATAAAAACAGTCGTTTTTGAAAAAAACGATAGTTTTGGAAAAAACGATCGTTTGGATAAAATGATCGTTTTGGAAAAATAATTACATGCAACTTTATCAAATGTCGTCTTGCATAAAGGTAAAAAGTTGTGGGGGAGCTAAAACTTCTTGATATTTTCTTTAAAG